CAGGGAGTCTGACGTGGGACTGGATCCTGGGACTCCAGGATCACGCCCTGGGCGGAAGGCAGGCACTTAAACCGCTGAGCCACCCAGGCTATCCGAGTGTTATCTTTTTAATAAGGCTGGCTAATGGTTTATCTATCTTATTCTTTCAAAGAACCAACTCCTGGTTTTGTTGATCTGCTCTACAGTTCTTCTGGTCTCTATTTCATTGAGTTCTGCTCGAGTCTTTATTACTCTCTTCTTCTGCTGGGTGTAGGATCTATTTGCTGTTTTTTCTCCAGTTCCTTTAGGTGCGAGGTTAGCTAGTGTATTTGAGGGTTTTCCAGTTTTTTGAAGGATACTTGTATTGCAATGTATTTCCTCCTTAGGACTGCTTTTGCTGTATCCCAAAGATTTTTGAATGGTTGTATCTTTATGTTCATTACTTTCCATGAATCTTTTTAATTCTTCTCTAATTTCCTGGTTGACCCATTCATCTTTTAGGAGGATGCTCTTTAACCTCCACATGTTTGAGTTTCATCCAAATTTCTTCTTGTGATTGAGTTCTAGTTTTAAAGCATTGTGGTCTGAAAATATGCAGGGGACAATCCCAGTCTTTTGGTATCAGTTGAGACCTGATTTGTAACCCAGTATGTGGTCTATTCTGGAGGAACTTTCATGTGCACTTGAGAAGAATGTGTATTTAGTTGCTCTCAGATGCAAAGTTCTGTATGTATCTGTGAAATCCATCTTGTCCAGTGTATCATTTAAAGCTCGTTTCTTGGGATCCCTGGGTGGCACAGTGGTTTGGCGCCTGCCTTTGGCCCGGGGCACGATCCTGGAGATCCGGGATCGAGTCCCACGTCGGGCTCCCGGTGCATGGAGCCTGCTTCTCCCTCTGCCTGTGTCTCTGACTCTCTCTCTATGTGTGTGTGTGACTATCATAAATAAATAAAAATTGAAAAAAAATTTAAAGCTCGTTTCTTTGGTGATGATCTGCTTAAAAGATGCGTCATTTGCAGAAAGTGCCATGTTGGAATCTCCTACTGTTAGTGTATTATTATCTAAGTATGTCTTTACTTTGGTTATTAATTGATTGATATACTTGGCAGCTCCCACATTAGGGACATAAATGTTCATGATTGTTAAGTCTTCTTGTTGGATAGACTCTTTAAGTATGATACAGTGTCCCTCTTCATCTCTTAGTACAGTCTTTGGGATAAATTTTATCTGATATGAGGACTGCTCCCCTAGATTTCTTTTGAGGACCATTTGAATGGTAAATGGTTCTCCAACCTTTCATTTTCAGGCTGGAGGTGTCCTTAGGTCTAAAATGAGTCTCTTTTAGACAGCATACATATGGGTCTTGCTTTTTTATACAGTCCAAAACCCTGCATCTTTTGATGGGATCATTTAGCCCATTCACATTCAGAGTAACTATTGAAAGACATGAATTTAGTGTCATCGTAATACCTATTCAGTCCCTGTTTTGTGGATTATTTCTTTGGGCTTCCTCTTTCTTTTACAGGGTCCCCCTTAATATTTCTTGCAGAGCTGGTTTGGTGGTCACATATTCTTTCAGTTTCTGCCTATCTTGGAAGCTCTTTACCTCTCCTTCTATTCTGAATGAGAGCCTTGCTGGATATAGTATTCTTGACTGCATGTTCTTCTCATTTAGTACCCTAAATATATCCTGCCAGCCCTTTCTGGCCTGCCAGGTCTCTGTGGAGAGGACTGCTCTTAACTTACACGGGGAGAAATATTAGGTTAAGAATCTCTTGTCTCTCACTGCTTTAAGGATTTTCTCTTTACCTTTGGAACTTGCAAGTTTCACTATTAAATGTCAAGGTGTTGAATGGTTTGTATTGATTGGGGGGGGGGAGACCTCTCTATCTCCTGGATCTGAATTCCCGTTTCCATCCCCAAATTAGGGAAGTTCTCATCTATGATTTGTCAAATATGCTTTCTGGCCCTCTGGCCCTCTTCGTGCTTTCTGGAATCCCAATTATATGTGGATTTTTCCTTCTGAGGCTATCATTTATTTCCCTTAACCTTTCCTCATGGTATTTTGTTTTTTTTTTTAAGGAATTTTTTTAAATTTTAATTTATTTATGATAGTCACAGAGAGAGAGAGAGAGAGAGAGAGAGAGAGGCAGAGACATAGGCAAAGGGAGAAGCAGGCTCCATGCACCGGGAGCCCGATGTGGGATTCGATCCGGGGTCTCCAGGATCGCGCCCTGGGCCAAAGGCAGGCGCCAAACCGCTGCGCCACCCAGGGATCCCTCTCATGGTATTTTGTTTTTTTCTTTCTTCCTTGACATCAACTTGTCTTCTATGTTGCTCACGCTTTCTTCCACCTCATTAACCCTCATTGTTAGGACCTCCAATTGGATTACATCTCCTTTAATTGATTAATTTCGGCCTGATTAGATCTAAAATCTGCAGTCATGAACTCCCTTGAATCCTTTATGCTTTTTTCCAGAGCCATCGTTAGCTTTATACTTGTGCTTCTGAATTGGCTTTCTGACATCGAATTGTAATCCATATTCTGTAACCCTGTGGCAGAGAGTACTGTTTCTGATTCCTTCTTTTCTGGTGAGTTCTTCCTTCTAGTGATTTTGCTTGGTGCAGTGTTGCTATATGAGTGGGCTGAGTCAAGCATATCCACCCTGACCTGAGTAAATTTCACCCTAGATGATTCTGACAAGGTCAGAGACCAGAAAATATAGATCATAGCAAAAGAAACAAAAGGACCACTAAAGTGAAAAAAAAAGATTTTAAATAAAGTAGTAATAAATAAAAGGTGAAGAATCCTAAAGAAGAAGAAAAAAAGAAAAAAGAATAGAAAGAGAAGAAAGCAAAAGTAAAGAGGAAAAAAAAGAAAAAAGTGGGGAGGACTGGGAGATGGTGGTGGTGATGAAGTTGTAGTGGAGGGAGAATGTAGTCTACCTGAGTCCTAGAGGGCGATCCTCTTGGTTCTGAGTATATTAAGTTCTGTATGTTAGAAGATGCTTAGTCCCAAATTTATATAAACCAGCAGTACTTGTAGAAAGCCCGAACATTGAACCACCAAAACATAAATGAGACAAAAGAAGGGGGCCCGATGGGAATGAAGAGAGAATATAATCTCACAGAATGAACCAGCACAGTATACCACATGGTTCTGGGTGCATGCTGGTCATGTTTCAGAAGGTATTAACTTCCGCCATTGCAGAACAAAATGAGGCAGAGGAAACAAAAAACACAAAACAAACAAAAACCTCGTATATCTCCCAAAATTAAATTGAGTATGTTGAAGGGAATCTAGAAGTGGAAAATATATCTAAGACATGTAATTGTAGACATATGAAAGTCAAAAAGGAAGAAACTTAAAAATGAAGAGCTGATAAAATATTGTAGTTAAGGTGGGAATAGAGAAAAAAATATTGGAAATTTTTAGTCTGATATAAAAACGAGTTGTATTGTAAAAAGGGAAAAAAAGAAAAAAAAGAAGGGTTGCTCTCTAGTTCTATATACTATAAATCCCTTGACTTCCCCCTGGAGCTTTCCAGTGCTGCTTAGTCAAGAACTTGCTCTTCCCGTGTTCTTGCAGCTGGTGTTCTGTAGGAGGGGCCTGCTGTGCCGATCATTAGGTGTGTGTACCTGGGGAAGATGTCTGCCCCCTTTGGGTGCCAGGCTCAGTTGGAGCTGTTTATCCTGTGAGGCCTTTGTCCCCTGGTGGCCCCACCCCTCCCAGGCACAGGGTGAAACAAGGAGGAACAACAATACTGGCAGCAGCTAGAATTCCAGCTCTGGAGTCAGCTCCCCACTAGTAACTAATGCATTCTTCAAGTCCACACCGGCCTAGATACTCCTGGGGCAGGTGCAGGTGTCCTTATCTACACAGCTTGGGGGCACCCAGGGACAGGAGAGTCCTTGCTGTCCTGGGCCCTCCCTGTCTCCCCCTGTCCTGGGGGGAGTACAGGATCATGGTCTGTGTCCGCCAAGTCCCCTGGGATCTGGGGCCCTGTGGTGCTGGATTTGCGCTCCCAGGTTCATGGCCCCCAGAGGCAGCAGGGCAGCTACCTCCATCCCAAGCCACCCACCTAACCAAGTGACTTCTCCCAAATGTCCTGTCAACTGCGCGCTGTAGCACTTTACCGAGTTTGGTCCAGTTTGTGGAGCGCTTACCCCCAGGGCACATTTCCTCTATTTTGACTCGGGGAAATTGGAGGCTTCACTGCCCCTCCTGCGACTCTGCCTGATTTCCCTGCTAAGTGCTTTTCCGTCCAGGAAGAATCTAGTGCAGATTTTTAAAGTTCCCACTTTTCTGGGGCTGGTCTCTCTTCTCCTGGAGGCTTTCGCCTCCCGGCCTCAGCTCAGCTCCTCGCAGTGTCCCTCTCCTACTGGATTCTTTTTTATTTATTTCTGCCTTAATACCTTGCTAGAAGCAAAAACCATTCTCTCTGAAGCGTTCTGGCTGTTCTCTCTTTAAATCTCAGGTCGAATTTGTAGTGTTCAGGATGATCTGACAATTACCTAGGTAAGTTGGTGGGGCCAGGTGAGTTGACGTTCCCTACTTCTCCACCATCTTCTCAGGACCACCCACTGCCCCATTTCTGATAGGCAGTAAAAGCCACAGAATCAGGATGCACTACAAACCAAGATGCTCTAAAATCCAAGTTTAATAGAAAATAGTATCAATTTGAGCAAATTCACTTTGTATTCAATTAATGGGGGGGGTATTTTTCTTGGGCAGTAGGAAGCAGTACATAAAAAAGAGTAGCATAAGTTTTATTAGTTTCTTTCCACTTTATCTGCCCAAAGATAGCAGATTCAGGAGCTACAATAAGAGAGGTAGGGTATTTAATCCAGCTGTAACTAATTACATGTCTCATAATAGCTCCTTATGGTGCCGGTTTGTAAATGCTGTAAGAAGGCACAGCTAATTAGGATCAGACCAAATGACTTCAGCAGAATAGGATAAGCCAAATAGAGTTGATTTTATTACATCATGTTTTCTTTGAAAAAGGAGAGGTTAGGAAATGAGGCGCCCTGTGACCATCCTGGATGTTTCCGAGCCGAGACAACAGAAGACCCCAGAGATTGGAAAACGAGTATGTGCCTGGTCCCATCCTGGTAGGGGTAAGGCACATCTAGTGCCCAGAGTAGAATGGTGAGGCCCCCAAGCAGCCAGAAGTCCTGAATATGCCTCCATTCCATCAAAGTCACCCTAAGAACCTCCTCTAACGAGCTGTCAGATGCCCATCTCCAGAGGGAGGGAAACAGGGACTAACAAATCATAAAAGGCTGGGCGCATGGGCCCGTTTGTCCGGAGCAGTTTGCTTACATTTTAAGATAACTATCATTGTTGTCAGGTGCGAAGCCCACCTTTTGACCACAAAAAGGAAAAGCACGAAGGGCGGGGCCCCAGACGGCCCATTCCGGGCACCCCCCAAACTCCTCGTCCTCCCATCCTCCAGTTGGCAGCCACAGTGTACCGGCAGTTCTGAGGGGCCGCCCCTTTGGGCCTTCCAAGGACCCACCCAGCGAGGACTCTGTAAAGCGCAGAAGGCGGCGCTGCAGAAAACAAAAATGTGGACTCTCCAGGAGGCGCAGTTACAAAACGCTAGTCCCAACCAGGTTCCTCCAGTTCCCGAGAGACCGTCAGCCCCGGCCCCGCAGCCACTGCGCCCTCCTGTCCCCATAGTCTTCTGGCTCCAGCAGGACCACATGTCCTCCTCACCTGATGGCCTGAAGACAAAAGAAAGCCGAACTTCGGACCCACGCGGCTCCACACACAGTGCGAGGTTAGACTTCCCACCAGGGACCCTGCGGTGATAAGCTGTGGGTCAGGCCATGCCCCAGCCATCTCTGATTGGCTGATGGATCCTAGGCCCGCCCCTTCGCCCCTACCCCCTGCTTTGTCTTGTAGGCTTGAGCCCTTGGTCTCACCTCTACTCAAGACCTCTCTCCTGCCTTAGTATCTTGATGACATCATAACAGAGCCGCCTACATAGACCCTGGTCTCTCCCATTATTCTTGTGCTGAGGATCCACTTCCCTTCTTCCCAAGTTTTCTCACTCCTTCAAGGTAACTGGGACCTCTAAATACGCAAACACTTCTTTCCCAGTTAGCTTCCAACGTGTGGAACTGGCTTTTTATAGCCAGAGAGCCTAAGTACACTGTGATAACCACACAATGGTTTGGAAGCAACGCTCAGTAGCATCTGTTCTAATCCTTGACCAGGTCATGGAGGAGGGGAGCTCATTGAGAGGATGGGCAGTTCAGAGTCATTCACCCTCACAGTTGAGCATTTCTGTGACAGTGGTGCTCTCCTTTATAAAAGTCACATTTGGGAGCACCTGGGTGGCCCAGTCTGATAAGCATCTAATTTGGTTCAGGTCTTGATCGTAGGTTCCTGTGATGGAGCCTCTCATGGGGCTCCCTACTCAGCGAGGAGTCTGCTCCTCCCTCTGCCTCTGCCCTGCTCCCTCTCTCTCTCTCTCTGTCTCCCTCCCAAGTAAATAAATAAAATATTTTAAAAATAAAATAAAAAAATAAAAGTCACATTTTCAATTTTCTCAGCCACTGAACATGGTAGTAGTCAGTTTAGGGTAATCACAGGAGGATCTACTGAGGCTATTCATCTATATCTCCTCAATCCCTAGCACTTTGGCCCATAGGCAACACTAAATACCTGTCTATAGATTGAAGTAATACATCCATTATAGAGCAGTAATTTTGGACAGCAGCACCACCCAGTGTCCATGTTGGAGGGGAAAAGTGAGGATTCCATAGTTACTTGAAAGGACTAAATGCCCAAAGTTATTTTCTGGATACTCACCCAGAACCTTAGAGCATTAAAGTAAGATGGAGATAGGATTATAGCTTGTCTCCTGTATTTTCCATATGGCTCATGTATGGTGGTAGAAATACTCTACATAGAACAAAACATCTATTCCCTTTTCTGTGCTCTTGTAGCACTTCATGTTAATTTGAAAATTTTGTGCGTTTGTTGGAGAAATTTTTAAAGCAGAAGGCCACCTTCATTCAACAAATAATATTTATTGAATACCTACATTGTCACAGGCACTAAATATAATAAACACCAATGTTTCCATGACTCAGAGTTGAATGATTTTAACATTTGGGTTTATTTACTGTCTTTTTTTTAAGAGTAAAAATAATACAGAAAATTTGAGGTTCCCTTGACCCTTTCCCTGTGTCCATTTACTCTTCCACTTCCTCAGAGGTAGTCCTATCTTGAATGTGAAGTGTAGTTTCTAGGCCATTTTGCTATCATCACAGATTTATGCAATCTCTGTTTCCAAGAATGACATGATGCATTGTGTCCAGGTGTAAGATTGAATTTCCATATTACTTGGGGTCATCAAGGACGTTGCAGACACCCACCCCACCATAGCCCACAGTTTAAAATATGCCCTGAATCTGTCTTGAATCCATCAGAACTCATGTAATTATTTTGTTTATCCTCATTTATGCCAGTTACCACAACAACCCTGAGAATCTCCCATGATACCCCTCAATGCCCTCATTTTAACCTCCATAAGGCTGTGACCACATCCCCTTTTCTAGTTCACCTCTCACACCCATTCTTTATTCCTAAAGCATAATGCACCCTCAGTAATCCCCTATATCTTCAACCTCTTCTGTAAATATGCCCTTTATTGCCTTCCCCTAACAGAAACCAGGCTCTCCCCTGAGGATTCGTGCCCCTGAAGCCAACTCAAGAGGACCAGATGATTTTTCTCTCCTACCACCTTTGTACCACAGAGCCTGAAGGCTGAATAAATGCTTCTCTTGCTTTTCATTGCTGCTTTAGGTAACTCGTCTCCTGCATCCTTGAAAACCGTCAGCTTTTGGCAACTTGTCACCAACTAGCCTTAATGGTTGTTGTCATCTACCAAACTTCAGTTTCCCATCTCTCCTTATTTCTTGAAGATTTTAGTTGCTGGAACATGGTCACTCTCAATGAAGTAGAACTGTCTTAATTCCTGGTGAGTTCAAGAACAACCACCAATCTTTTTTTTTTAAGATTTTACTTATTACTCAGCCATTAGAAACGACAAATACCCACCTTTTGCTTCGACATGGAGGGACCTGGAGGGTATTACGCTGAGTGAAATAAGTCAATCGGAAAAGGACAAACACTACATGGTCTCATTCATTTGGGGAATATAAAAATTAGTGAAAGGGAATAAAGGGAAAAGAGAGAGAATGAGTGAAACTATCAGTGAGGGTGACAAAACATGAGAGACACCTAACTCTGGGAAATGAACAAGGGATAGTGGTAGGGGAGGTGAGCGGGGGGTTGGGGTGACTGGGTGATGGGCACTGAGGGGGGCACTTGGCGGGATGAGCACTGGGTCTTATGCTATATGTTGGCAAATTGAACTCCAGAAAAAAAAAGATTTTATTTATTTATTCATGAGAGAGGCAGGGACATAGGCAGAGGAAGAAGCAGGCTCCTTGCGGGAAGCCCGATGCAGCACTTGATCCCAGGACCCAGGATCACACCCTGAACCAAAGGCAGACGCTCACCCACTAAGCCACCCAGGTGCCCCAAGAACAACCAGCTAAACCGGGCTGGAGGAAAATGCGCCACCACATGATTAAGTTGAACTTTATTGACATGAACTTCAATCTGGCCCATAATGCTGCCAATTACTCAATAGGCCTCTGGTCCCTTAATTTTCCAAGTGTTCCAAGTTATGATTTCATACCTTCTCTCTCCCCAAATGCCCAATACCACCTCCCCACCCAAACTTTTCTCTCTTTTTTTCTTTTTTTTTAGTTTTTTTATTCAATTCAAATTCAATTTTCCGATATATAGTATAACCCCCAGTGTTCATTCCATGAAGAGCCTCCTTAGTGCCCATCACCCAGTTACCCCATCACCCCACCCATCTCCCCTTCCAAAGCCCTTTGTTTGTTTCCCAGAGTTAAGAGTCTCTCATGGTGTGTCTTACTCCCTCATTCATTCCCACTCAGTTTCCCTACTTTCCCTTATAATCACTTTCACTATTTCTTATATTCCATATATGAGTGAAACTATATGATGATTGTCCTCCGACTGACTTATTTCATTCAGTATAATACCCTCCAGTTCCATCTACATCAAGGCAAATCCCACCCTAACTTTTGTTACTTTCTATTTTACTAGAAGATTGTATCTATCAAAAGAGAACTTTCACTGACTTCTACCACCACATCACTTCACCTACCCACACCTGCATCTGTGTATACATAGCCTTCTTGTTGATATCTTTATTGGTCAGAATTGTTCAGAGAAACAGAACCAATAGGATATATAGAGATAGATATGTAGATTTATTATGAGGGATTGACTTATGTGATTACAAAGGCTGAGAAGATCCACAATCTACTAAATGCAAGCGAGATGCCCAGGAATGCTAGTGATGAACTAGTCCAAGCCTGAAAGCCTGAGTACCTAGGACCAGGGGATGGTGGTAGGAGGCAGCGGGCAGGCAAAAGTATAAATCTCAGTCCAAGTCCAAAGGGCTGAGAACCAAGAGTACTAATGCCAGGGGCAGGAGAAGAAAAACGTCTTAACTTAAGCAGAGAGAATAAATTTGACCTTTCTCTGCACTTTTTTTTTCTCTTTGAGCTCTCAACAGATTGGATGAAGCCCACTGATATTGGTGAGGGCAATTATTTTTACTCATTCTACAGATTAAACTCTAATCTCTCCTGGAAACACCCCTCCAGACACACTCAGAAATAATATTTTACCAGATTTGAGCATCCCTAAGCCCAGTCAAGTTGACACATAAAATTAACAAACACAAAAATGTTATTTTATGATTAGCCAAAAATATTTAATATGAGTTAAAAAGAAAAGGATATCCTTGAAAGGATGCCAGAAATGTCAAGGAACTGTAAAATGTGCTAGTATATGTAGAATTCTGTTAAATTTTATTTTTTAAAGATTTTATTTATTTTTTTATTAATGAGAGATACAGAGACACAGGCAGAGAGAGAGAAGCAGGCTCCATGCAGGGAGCCTGACGCAGGACTCGATTCTGGGTCTCCAGGATCACGCCCTGGGCTGAAGGCAGGCGCCAAACTGCTGAGCCACCCAGGCATCCCAGAATTCTGGTAAGTTTTAAATGCTTTTTAGAAATAAGAAAATAAAGCCATTGTGTCCTAACATTGACTAAAGACATTTTGGGATTATTTGGATTGTCAAAATATAAAAAGAAAACTAAAAAAGATATTTTAAAATCTCAGGAGGAATTAAACCTGCCATAAAAAATACATTTTGGAAAAATTTTTTGGTAAAGTTGGTTTTAGATAACTATGTCATTAAATTAATAAGGAAATAAGTAAATATATGGCATGAACCAAGTCAAAGATTTAAAAGACTGGAGAGAATATCATTTCAAAAAAACTGTAAAGGTCTGAACTACATATTATTCTATTAAGTGTTAAGCCAAGGACTTGTGTAAGTCAGGGTTCTCCAGAGAAACAGAACCAGTAGGATATATTTCTTTCAAATAATTTTATTTCTTTACATTTATTTCAAGGAATTGATTTATGCAACTGTGCGGACTGGCAAATCTGAAGTCCCCAGAGTGGGGCAACACACTCCTGCAGGAATTAATGCTGCAGTCTTGCAACAGAGTTTCTAGCCAAGTTGACATATCACAGTAACTAAAGTGCCTTCATCAAGAACCCTCTCTGAAGACCAACTAAATTCCTTCTAAAACTTACTTTAACAAGTCTGCTCTAGTGATTTTCAATATACAGATTCCCACACACCATT